GTTTCTCGGCGATTTCGTCCTTCAAACGGTCCAATAACGCTATGTAATAGTCGCTGTTGATGGTCCTTCCTTTTTCAAGGTAGTCAATGAAAATTATTCCACGCGCATCCCAAAATACAGACGCCATAACCTTGCCAGCCGACTGTTGCGCTTTTGCACGCTTTGGAGCGGGTTCATCGTGTGCAGTCCACTCCGATGACTCAAAGCGAAGATTGAATTATTGATAGAATAATTGAAGTTCAAAACGATTCAACGATTTAAATAAATATTGTTCTTAGTTTTTAGCATGCGTCTATCATCTGGTACGGATCTTTTTTTCGAAATTCACTGGTCCTTTGAGTTTGATATGTTTAATTATTGATCTATGTGGTACAGCAGTACACCGACGGAAACAACAACACATTTTCGTCAAGCGAGCCATGCTCCCCAACACAAAACGATAAGGAGGGGAATTATATATTCAAAGAGGCCCCCGGCCCGGGGGGGGGGGGGATATCGGGGGATGGCTTCTTCAACTTGTGTTATTAATTAGGAAATATGTTAAAAATGGATTTCTTTCATAATTTTGTGTAAAAGCTGCTTCAGAAACTCGAAGAGTATTAGTGTATGCGGATTGTAATAAGATTACAAAAGAGCACAGGGATCATAAAAGTAATATCGGTCCTTAGTTCGGTATTCGCTGAAGTCTCGCAGGTAACAGATATTAACAGGTCAATAGAAAAGTCCCCGGCCTAAAATATTAAAACACATTTTTTTTGCAAAATTCGTTTTTTTTATTAACATAATTCCCTTCAAGGGTGATACACTGATTATAGCGATCCTCCAACTTTTCGATACCATTTTTGTAGTACGATTTGTCCTTTGCTTCAAAATNAATGTATGGGGCAGAAATCTGGGGATGGGAAGAGAGAAAAGAAATCGAAAGTATTCAGGACAGATATATTAAATGGACACTAAAGCTAGATAAGAGTACTCCGAGATACCTTCTTCAGGAAGAAACTAAATATGAAAAACTGACCATAAAATATTCAATAAGGGCCTTAAAGTACGAAGAAAAAATATTAAATTCCGAAAGCAACGCAATACTAAAAGTGTAAAAGTTAAGGACAAAATTGCGCTCTTGCAATAGGAAGAAAAGAAAACCACAAGGGAAGGATGGAAAAAAGAAAGAAAGAATTTTTTAATGGAGAGAGGATGGTCAATCAAACATTATATACGTATGGAAGCTGGAAAATGAGAGAAATGTATGGAAGGAACTAGAAAACTTAACCAAAGATATTGATAAACAAAGAAGGAGAGAGAAAATGAGAAACATGAAATTCGCTCAAGAGTACAAGATATTATGGAAAGAAGGAGAAGAAAAACCTCATTATTTGAAAGATGAAGGAGTAAAGAGAAAAAACCACCTACAATTAACTGCAAGATTCAGATTGGGAAGCGAAAATAGAGCGTCAAGGTATTGGGAGGAAGAAGAAAAGAAATTATGCAGATTATGTAAAAAGGAGCCAGAGACGCTTGAACATATTTTTGAGCGATGTGGGGAAACGGGAAGTTCTGCAAAAAGCTGGAAAGCTCAACTGGAAGGAGTGAACAACATGAAAAGGATGAGAGAAATCTTNTTTTTGTAATATATTTAGAAATATAACAAAATAGGTATTTGGAAAAATACATACGATTTTTTGTTTTAGTGTAACTTTACAATGAATGCCATTTTTTTCAAAAAACTTGAAATATTTCCACTTTCTTCATATTTTTTAGCATTTAATTTGATTGCTTCGTCAAGTTCAACATATTTCTTTCTCCTTTTGACCCCACTTAAACCAATTTCTAATCGAAACATCTTAATGTCTGCTTTTTCTGCTTCTTGCATCAGACACTTGATTATGTGTTTTAGTCTCGTATTATTTGAACCACTAAATAATTTATTGATGGCAGAATTATGACCCTGCGCTCCATTATTTGTTCGATGACGCTCGTTGTTGCAGTTCCACAATTTTATCGGAATGCTTTTGTTTTCAATCCACTGACTAACGAAGTAGTTAAAAAAAGTTGTCAAAAATTTATTTTTTTTCGGTAAAAGTTGTTTTCGATGACGAACAGGTTGTAGGTCGAAATCATCTACAGAGTCTTTCTCAATATCGGAATCTTCACCTAATTCTGGAGCTTCAGCCATTATTTGAAGATATCCTTCTTCAACATCCTCTACTTTCAAGAATGCTAGAGCAGTGCACATATGTACCAACTGGTGAATTTCGCAATCTTCTTTGTAAAACTTTGATAAGCCTATTTTTTGAATTTTTCTCTAAATCGCCTGTGTGAAATGGAAATATAGGGTTGTTCGGAAAGTCATTTCGTTTTTTCTTGTGGAAATGAAAGACAATTTTTGTATAATATACAAATGCTTTATTAAATTATATATTGACCGTTCTGGTCCAACACCTTTTGCCATCTTTCTGGTAGTAGCATAATTCCACGCTCATAAAATTTTTGGTCTTTGCTGGCAAAAAACTGATCGAGGAGGTTTTTGACCTCCTCATTTGAGGTGAAGGTTTTACCGTCTAAAAAATTTTGGAGTGACCGGAACAAATAATAATCCGATGGTGCCAGGTCTGGAGAATATGGTGGGTGTAGCATTGTATCCCATTCAAGCTGTAAAAGCTTTTGGCGAGTGACCAAACTTGTGTGAGGTCTCGCGTTGTCTTGGTGAAACACTACACCTTTCCTGTTGATTAGTTCTGACCTTTTCTGTTGAAGTGCATCATTCAGTTTGTCCAGCTGATGACAGTAGACTTCCGAATTAATCGTTGTGTTATCCGGTAAAAGCTCAAAAAAAACGATTCCTTTAAAATCCCACCAAACAGACAGCATCACCTTTTTTTGGTGAATATCGGCTTTGGAAATGGTTTGAGCCGGTTCATCTTTTTTGCTCCATGACCTCTTGCGTTTGACGTTGTTGTATACAACCCATTTTTCGTCCCCAGTGATGATGCGCTTCAAAAACGGATCATTTTCGTGACGTTTGAGAAGCGAATCGCAGACGTCAATGCGGCGACACAGATTTCTCTCTGTGAGAACATGGGGAACCCATACATCGAGCTTCGAGGATAATCCCAGGCCTTTCAAGTGGTCATAAACTGTTGAATTTGATAAATTTAACCTCAATCCGATCTCACGTGTTGTTATTCGCCGGTTCACATCAACTAATGCCTTTATCGCGTCTTTATCAGCTTCAACCGGCCTTCCCGAACGTGGTGCATCTTCGACATCAAAATTGCCGGATCGAAATTTAGCGAACCAGTTCTGGCACTGGCGTACTGTCAACACACCTTCTCCATACACATCAGTCAATTTCTTTCTGGCTTGAACAGCATTTTTACCCTTTCTGTAGTAAAACAGTAAGATATGTCGAAAATGCTGCTTATCGCTCTCCATATTTAAAAGGGCACCAACCAAAAACTACTGCGTAGAATTAATTGGAATTTTTCACACACAAGCCTTGCTATATGAGCTCTCAAAGCATATAAAAATTATACGGCTTAAACGTGAAGTTGGGTCCAAAAGAATACAATTAAATCCTCTGTCGGGAAAAAACGAAATGACTTTCCGAACAACCCTATAGCATCCATGTATATGAACCAAAGGAAATAAATCCTCTAGAGCCGAAATTGCTGCTTGTTTATGTTCAGTATAAGTATATAAATATAAATGAAATTTGTTTATTATATTTAGTATGTAATTATTTAGTTACCTACTGATGATGCAACGCGCATCCCTGCTCAAAATAGATGTCAGATGTTTGTTGGCTATTTTTATTTCAATTCCAGGTAGAGGCAACCTTGCTACCTACTATTATTATTACTTGTACGCAAGTGGGACGGTTTTTGCAGTTGTACGCAAGTTGGATGTACGCAAATAAGAGGACACGATTCTAAAACTTAATATTGCAAAGGGAATATCTGCACACGCGTTAAATTGATAAGGCGTGTAGCTTAATTCTGGCGTGGAAGATAGAATAACAGAAGTCCTGCAGCGAAGTAGACTTTAGATTAGATATTGTTAAGGATTATGCAGATAGAAATACAGGTCTGACGAAGGAAGTTGGCGAACGGTCGCGCAGGTATTTCCCATTTATGACCTATTTGGGTAAGTCACTTGGAACCGATACACAAATAAGCTTTCAGTAGGCGTAAATTATAGTATTAATACAGATAAGACAGTAGCGTACTAGAAAATAATGTAAAAACATAACTTATCAAAAAGAAAAAATTAACCTATTGCTTTTGTTTTATAGTTAGTTTTCACATTCACTCTTATCATGGGAATCTCTATCATTGTCACCAACATCAACGATTAGTTCTTATGTTTGTCTATCTATAACTTGCTCACTGAACTCTATTTTTAAATATTTAATCTACGCCCCTTATAGGTACACTGAAGAATGAGGGCTGCAATCTTTATACCTAAAACTGCCTACTTTTGCCACCGCGCATCCACGCCATTTTAAAATTTCCGCCAGCTTCCAGCGTCAGGCCTGTACTTTTGTAGATACAAGAACTAAATAAAACTTTCTTTGAATGTAATACAGTATATACAGTAAATACACAAATGTACAAATGTGAAAAGGA